CCGAGAGGAGCAGGCAGGAATGGAAGTCATTAGCAGGTTGCCATTTCTATAATCAAAGATTTCCTCTTACTGCCTCTGCTCACACGGGCACTGCTACTAAGCAGAAAATCAGGAACAGGGTATTTGGCTATATCTGCACATCAGCTGCCCGATGCCAGCTTGCAGGGTCAATAGCGTCCCAACTTGTGAAGAAAATCACACGTTAGTCAGCTTCCTGCAAAGCATCTAGCACAAAAGTAGCAGCTCTTGGTTGAGGCTCTATGACCTGACTCGCCAGGGGAGTATTGCAGGGCAGAGGGATTAATGCAAATGGTCAGGCTCCCCTTCTACAACTTTGCTGTCCTGAGAACGGGGCAGCAGACGAGCTGGAGGATGAATCACTGTGGATACGTTAGTTTTCTGAAATTAAAACAGACTAGATACTGAATTACAATTCTGTGCATGTTACTGCCTTCCAGCTAGGCTAAGGAGGAATACTTATCCCAAATGGGCCACCACACAGGAGCAAAGTGAGGAACAGTACAAACTCTTTATTTTACTGATGGCGAAAGTAGATTAAGGAGGCCATTAAACAGCTCCGGGAGATGGAGAGGAGATCAGGCAGATCCAGTCAGCAGTGTGCACTGAGTCCCCTTCCCTTGCTCAGGGGCACCCCCCCAGGCAAAGGGCACTCGCCCTGTGCCATGCGAGGGCATTGTATTCATCTGGCTTCTGCGGAGGCCCTGTGGCAGTGGTGCTGTCTGGCTGCAGCTCCTCTTGTGCATTCAGATGGATATGACCGCTGTGATAGACAAGTGTTTCCAGTGTAAAACCCTGGCTCACAGACTTTTCTAGCACCGCTTTAGCCAGATGAATCCAGAGGTAGCTTTACCCCAGGGGCTAGGGAGAGGCTGAGAAATCCACCCACATATCTTATCTTCATTTGTAGAGCATCCAACACTGGCTGTATCAAAAGTATCATGAATTCAGAGGACATGCTCTGACAGTCAGCAAGGGTGACAGCTTCTTAGCTGAGATGTAGAAACTAACTGCATGCTTATATTTTACATTTAAAATGGTTTCCTCTGAATGGGTGAGCAATGCTATTGCATTTTACCTGATGTTCGTAACAGACTGGGAACACAATGTTTTGAGTTTCTGCCTCTCATTCAAAGGAACTGGCTTTTGGCAACACACTGCTTGCTCACTTCTGATTGCCTGACCAGTCCCAAGACCAACATTTTCCAAGCAAAGAATGCCACGCATACCCTAGCTGAGATGTGCAGAGCTGGGAGCACAACCCATGTGCTATGGAGAACTCCACTACAGTGCACTGGAATTACACTAATCTGAAGACAAGTGTGCAAAAACTGCTTATGGCTAAATCACTGAGACACTGAATTCAAACATTTGCAGTGCCACTGTAGCAGTGCATGTCTGAAATGAAAAGACGTCCTCCTGTGCCAGCTCTAGATGTTAGGAAAAACAGCAGAGTCATTTTGTTCTCACTGCTTAATTTCAATTGATACTCACCACAAACAATATTGGTTTCATTCTGGTTACTTTAATTTTCACTGGTAGCCATAAAATATCAAGGAGGGGTTTAAAAAAACTGGAAAAAAGTTTATTAGGCAAGGATAAGAAAATTGCCCCAAATTTCAAAATATGCAAGAACATCCTGTCTTCCCAGGCATGGCAGCTCAAATTCAGATATTCTCACTTTATGTTTTACATAGGAGAGGACATTCGGATGTCAGTGGAATTGCATCAGCTGGTAAACGGACTTGCCACAAAGCCCTTTCCCTCAGCTGAGCTGTAGTTACAGTGTCCAAAACATAGCGAGTAAATGGTTACGTGCTTGAGAATGTGTCGTCGTTGGGAATAAGATGGCGTTAACACCACCCACACTTGCACTGGGACCATTCCCACGGTACAGCTCAAGGGAGACACAGGGTCTTTGCCTGGAGGGAATTTCACTGGCCAAGTTAACATTTAAGAGCTAACTTTCTAATGTGAGTCTTACAAACCACAGAGAATTAATCATACTACCCAACCTTATGGGAGGACTGCCAAACCACCATAACTTTCTTTCAAGCATATTCCTATTTCTGTTTGGAGAATAACAGATTACAGAAATTGAAAGTGAACTTTCCTTTGGTCACCAAATATCCGCCTGACTTTTTTCTATGTATAATACCTCCAATGGCTTTTATGGAAAAATAGGAGATAATTTTGTCATCTGCTTCTGTTCTTCAATAGTTCCTGATATGCCGGTATCTCAGTACTGCCTGCTCCTCTTTCAAAAATCATTAAAACATCAAAGACTACCAAAGACTTCCTAACCACTCTGATTGTAGTAGATGTATCTGGTTTGGCCCCTACAACTGTCAGAAAATCACATGGTGTCCTTAGCAAAATAGTTTTGTCTTGCCCTAAAATCACATTCAGAAACTGATGGTCTGATGGCAGTTTTTAATTAAATGATGCCTTATTGATGTTAGCACCCTCCAATGCTACGGTAACTACAACCTAGTGCATGTGTCCCCCTTGAAGACAGAGATCTGCAGCCATGCACACCTTCACTGCTGAGATGCAGCCTCACATCCCAGTGTTGCAGTCAGAACCCTGGGGGCTAGAGAGGACCACCTAGAAAATACTGTAAAAATTATTATCCCTGCTATTCACTGAGGGCAGTAACTGTTAGGGCAGCACGGGGGTGCTTGCAGAGCCCACCCTTAGTAAACAGCGTGGATAACAGCACCTGCTAAGAGAAGAACAAGTACAAATGGTGTGTGCACCCACATGCGCCTGGATGAAATACACATAACTGGGCATTTGCTCCAAACTACTTATGTGAAAGAAGAAGCAACCATCAGACAGATTAAACAGTAATTGGGGACTTAGAGAGACTTGAAAAAACAAGATGACAGCCTGAACAGAAGTATAAAAGAAGCACGACTGCTGGTTAACTACGTGTCATCAGTAAGTCAATATAGTGCTTTGGTCCTGATTTGGTTTAAACTATAGAAACTGAGCGGTTTACTCCTGTGACAGCCTGCTGAGCTTCTGCTCCTCCTTCCCTCTGTTGAAAATGAAGCACTGCCTCATATCCAGCTTGTAGCACGGGAAAGAGAAGGCCCTGTAGGATCTGGGGATGTGTCCCAGGCTGTGCTGCAGAGAAGCCAACTCAGCAGCGCTCTCCAGGTCCGGGGGAAAGGGCTCTCCTCTCAGGAGAGAAGTGGCAAATGAGAGGGGACATGTATCAGAGAGAGGAAACAGTTATAATTATTCTCTTGCTGCATCTACACAGCTTCCAAGCTCTCCTGATGGTACAGAGGCATATAAATTCATTTGCTGCTAAGCTCTAATCTGGACTTAATGAACCAGGCACAACCGTCAGGGCAAGTTGGGGGATAGGTCACTCCAAAAGCAGTTAGGCACCATGGATGTGGCTGTGCCAAACCTGGCTTGCTATGCCCTGCACGATGCGTCAGTACTATCTCACCACACACACCCTTGTGCCGTGCCCCAAAGACATACCAAAGCAACCACCACACCTCTTGCATCGAGTTATGAAAATAAAAGTCTCTCAAACAACTGAGCAGGCCTCTTGTTATTCTAGGCCACTGCTAAGGAAAAAACCCAAAATCTGAAGATCCCACCTCAGAACTAATAATCTGGGGTTGGCCCAGCTCAAAGCCTGTCTTCCTGCTCATGGCCTTCTGTGTGCCTGGGTATTCCTGTACCACCAAGCAATGCTGCTTTCAATCAAATGGTTGAAGAACGGCAACCCAACAGTGGCCAGTGCCGAAGCAGGAGCCTCCTGGGATGCCTCCCAGCTGCACAAAGACTGGCCAGTGCAGGCTAGGCCATGGCATGGGGCTGCCTGGAGAGGCCCAGCAGGACTACTGCTCCAGATGCGGCCATGGTGAGTTTCTGACCTGAACTGGTGCCCACTAATCAGGGAGAGCTGGGAATGGCAAGACCCCAGAAAGCATTGGCAGTCCTCTCCCCTGACAGGTTCCCTGCCACAAGCCTTGAACTTGGCCTTGCAAGCTCTGTACCCTGTACTGGGTCTCATAAGTTTCTGTCCCAGCTGGGGCTCATGGTGGGTACCAGGTTCAGCATCCCCTCTCCAGCACTGGTAAACAACTGCAACGGCAACCTCCCTGGATAATGTGGCCTGAACTGGATAACTGGCAGTCCACATTTCCAAGCTTGGCCTGCTTGTCTAAGCCCAAACATCTGGAAAATGTAATATCTAATATAATGCTCCCCAGGGATCAGCCCTTTGCCTGGTCCCATTTGAGAGAACACAGCACACTGACAGATGAGCCAGAGATGACACCAAAAGGCCATCTGACAAACAGAAGCAGCAAACACAGCAGTGGTGAGCAACACATCACTGCAGCAGTGCTGGGCAAAGGCTGCCTGTGCATCTAGAGCGTGGCTCCTTCCAGGGGCCCACTGGCACATGTCCTCCGTGGGTGAGGTGAGCACATGCATGGTGGACCCTGGGTGAGAAAAGCATAAAGACATGAGAGGCAAAGATCTCTGGTCTTGTGCTGCGCCAGGGATCACTGCAAGCTCTGTGCAGTGCAAGCACAGCCAGTCTGCACCACCAGGTCAGGGGACCAGAAATGCCTTTAGCAGTACAGACAGACATAGGACAGGTTCTCCTAACTGCTCCTACACTGTTCTCTGCTGCAAGGGGAAGATAAAAGGCTTCCCCTCAAGATGTTGCTGTTTCATCTTCCCTTGGTCCCCCTGAAGAGGCTTTAAAGACTGACTTCTACTCCCACAAGAAAAGAAGCCAGTCAGCAGAAATGAACACCAGCCCTCCTTTGGACTTAATGGAAGCTGAGCATCACCTCGTGGGCTTGCGCTGGAGATCCAGTGCTGGCAACTGAACCAGGG